CAAAATTACAACTAAATTATAGAACAACCATCATTCAGCACCACCAGTAATCAAGCTGAATGGAAGCTCTACAACTTACAGAATTAAGGAAGAAACCACATTGAGACTGGTAAGAGGGGTGGAGATGTGGAAGGGGCTGGTCCCATACCCATGTGTGGTAGGTGAAAGTCAGGAGGGATATCTCAGGACCAAGGGAGTGGGGAGTGCTTGGTTGAGGGGGATAAAGGGGGAAAAATTGGGACAACTGTAATAGCATAAACAATAAAATATAATTTATATTAAATATATATACTAATAACCACTAAGTTGTACTTTTTTTAGATTTTATTAATTTATTTTTAGAGAGAGGGGGAAGGGAAGGAGAAAGAGAGAAAGAGAAACATTACTGTGGGGTTGCTTCTCACATGGCCCTCACAGGGGACCCGGCCCACAACCCAGGCATGTGCCCTGACTGGGAATCAAACCAGTGACCCTTTGGTTCGCAGGCCTGCATTCAATCCACTGAGCTACACCAGCCAGGGCTAAGGTGTACATTTAAAAATGGTACTTTATGGTATGTAAATTATATTTCTATTAAAAAAATTAAAATGTATATGAAAAGATATATCAGGCAAATATTAAGCTAAATAGAAATAATGTATGTTTATTAATATCAGAAAGAAACTGCTGCAAGGCAAAATGCCAATGATATTAAACCAGAAATAAATAAGCTCCTTATACATCAATAAAATCTTCAAGTCGCCAGGAAGATATAACAATTCTAAACTTATGTGTAATTATTTACAAAGCTTCAAAATTGACATAGTTACAAGAAAATATTAACAAAATTTGCATATCAATAAGCAGCCAAAACCGCAGAAAAATATAGAGCATTTGTACCAGATAAACAAACACGACTTAAGTATATACTACAGTGAACTGAACTATAAAATGTACATTCTTTTCAAATGCTCATGGAACATTCACCAAAAACTTTCAAATGTTAGAGTCTAACAGTTAAACCATAAAGCAAATGTCAGTAGATTTCAAAGAATTAAAATCACACAAAATTTGTTCTGTGAAGAGAATGAAATCAGACTGGGAATGGAAAGGGCACTGATCTGTTAAAACAGAAGCTTGTCTTGCACAAGGTCTGGCAGAGATTACAGGAAGCCTCCTGCTGTGCTAGAAATTAACCCTTTAGTTGCAAGATGATAAGCAGTAAGTCCCAGCAATCCTGGAAAAGGCATTGAGATGGTCAGGACAACCGACTAAGTGGCAGGGAAACTAAGAAACCTAGAGACATGCTTACTTAGTTAATTTTCTGAAAATATTTTACAAATTCATATGACCATACAAGTGTGCATCTGTGAAATAACAGTTCTGTTTAGTAGGCCAATTATAGCATTAGATACCTATATTTAATAAAAGAAAGTCTGAAAATTGATGAACTGAGCATCCAATGCCAGAGGTTAAAAAGAACAGTAGAATAAATCAAAAGAAAACAAAAGAAATAGGATAATGATAAGGAAAACAGTTCTATAGAAAACAAAGATATACAGAAAGAATAAAAAAGCCAAAAGTCAATTATTTAAAAAAAACTTATAAGAGTAGCAAACTTCTGGAAAGATTGATCAGGAATTAAAAAGAGAAGGTACAAATAAACAATATTAGAACAAAAGAGGAAATAACTGCAAATGCAACAGAGATTTTCTAAAAATTTAAAGATAGGAACTTTATGCAAACAAATTTGAAAAATGGTGTGAAGTAGAATTAATTCTAGAAAAGCATAACTTAACAAAACTGACAAGTAGAAATAGCAAACTGGAGTGATTCAATAATTACTTAAAAAATTATATCAGTTCAAATACTTCTTAGGAAGAAGACACCAGGCCTCAAAATTGTGCCAAATATTTAAAGAACAAATAGTTCCTTAGGCCACCTCTGTCATAACATAGAATGAAAGGAAATAGTTCCCACTTCATTTAATGATACCAAAATCAAATAGAGAATGAAAAAATTACAGACCAATCTCATTTATGAACAAATCCAAAATTCCTGAACAAAATATTAATGAACTAAATCCTAGCAGTTTTTATGTTTCATGGGACTGTAAGATTAGTTCAACACAATAAAAAAATCTCTAATGTGATTTACTTTAATAGGTTAAAGTATAAAACCAACATGTCATCTCAATGGATACAGAAAGCACCATTAATAAAATTTAGCATCTACTAATTTTAAAATAATCCTATTGGCAAATTAAGAATAAACTGAATTCCCTTTTTTTTGAAAGATAAACTGAACTTCTTTGCCCTGTTAAATGGTATCTACAAAAATCTACAGCAAATTTACTCAGTGGTGAAACTTTAAAAGCATTCCCTTTAAAAATTAGGATCAATGTAATGTACGCTATTAACATTTCTATTTAACATTGTACTAAAAATGATATGTGTGTATTGGAGGTAGGGGTCCTAGCAGTGCAGTAATATAAGAAAAAGTGACCCCAAAATATGAGGATTGGAGGAGAAAAAAGAAAACTGTCATTTACATACAAATTATCAAAATCAATTATTAGGTTAGGTTTGCTAGTAACAAATGCAATATCCAAAAACCAATTATATTTATATATATTAGCAATAAATTGCTGTAAAATGTAATTTTCTAAAAAGGTATTTTAAAAATTGACAACAAAAATAAGCAAAAATTTCTTGCACTGATGCGGACGCCCTTTTAAATTACAAAACTTTACTCAAATGACATGAAAAAGTCTAAATAGATGGAGAGACACACCATGTTTACAGAAGACTCAATATTGCAAAGATGTTAACTCTCCTTAAATTGATCTACAGATTTAATGTAATTCCCATCAAAATCCCCAAAATTTTGTCAGTGTGTCTGTGGTTTTGTGTGTAACTTGAAAAGCTGATTCCAAAATTTATGGAGACAGCATTTCATTTTATTTAATTGCATTTTATAACCCAAAATTAGAAACTACATAAATGCTCATGAACATTAAGATGGATAAATAAGCTGTGGATATGCACAAAATGTAATATTACACAGGCAAGAAAGAATAAACAAACTACAATTGCATCCAGTGATAATATAGATGGCCAACAAAACATAATGGTGAATGAGAAAAACAAGTCACAGATGAATATACACAGCTGTTCAAGTACTTTATACATGTTAATGTATTTAATCTTCAGAACAACCTCATTAAGTGATTGTGTAGTTCCCCTCCCCCACGACCCTCTTTGGGGCCAGGCAGGTCTTCTGGAGAGGATAGAGTGAAAGTAACACAGAGTGACTGTTTTTACTGAGCATCCCTATGTGCCATGCTCTGGGCTTGATGCTGGGGATACAATGGGAAAAAGACCACACACCCACCTTCTTACTTAAATAATAATAACATTTATTGAGTGCTTACTATAAGCTGGGCACTCTTCTAAGGGTTTTATATACTGTAGCTATCTAATCTTCACAACAACACTGTTACTAACTTCTTTTTACAGATGAGGAAATGGAAGCACAAAGAAGTTAAGAGACTTGTCTAAGGTCACAGAGGCAGGAGCTAGGACTCAAACCTAGGCAGTCTAAATCCAGAACATCTAAATCACTGAATCAGCCCAACAATATGGGAAGGTAGGTAGGTATTAATCCTGTTTTACAGTTGAGGAAAGAGGCTCAGAACTACAGTGAACACATATTTATTTTGCATCCTTTATGTGACAGAGACTATATTAGGTGATTGATGTATATTATTTCTCCAACCTGGAAAAAGTTCCCAGAAATCTAAGGATCCTAACTCTGGAGAACACAGGCATGCCAGCTCAACCCAACAGTCCCTTAGAAAGGATCAAGAGTGTCCAGGTAGGTAAGAGTGAGATGTAATTCTGTCTCATCCAGGTTCCTAGATCTCCAAATGAGTGAGTAAAACTGCCAGTGGAGAGGAGGAGAAAGGAGAACATGAGGTTCCCCCACCCTTTCTCTTCTTCCTCCATCTACACCCTATATCCTACATACTGCATTTAACATCCTACATCTTCCTGGATCCTCTAAGCAACTACCTCTCCCCCTGCCCTGAGCAGACGTGACCCTGGACCTTCTGTAGCATTAGCATAGTGGAGGCTTGGTCAGCTTGTCCTTGAGTTGTCTCAGTCCAACAGTCCACAGCTGTTTTATCTCTGCCCACCTTATGGCTCCTCAGGCCATAATCCTTATGCTGGAAGTACCTTGGTTCACAACTGTTCCCCATTATCTGTGAGAAATGGTATAATGCAGTTTTCAAAAAATATTTTTACAAGTTTCATTTGCTTCTCCTTTGCCCCTCCTTTTTCTTTAATTTTCAAAGTAAACATTACACCAACAGGCTGTCCCTAAGAAGACTGATTGTCTTCTCCCTCTCTGGGGAGAGCAGCAAGTGTCCATATGTGCCAAGAACACAATGCAGAAGATCGGACACCCAGCCTTTCCCAACCAAGTCAGGTATAGATTTATTAGAAGAGGCTTGAGAAAGGGGAGGAGCAATGCTGACCAATGACATGGCACTGCTGTGTACCCAGTACCTGTCCCCGAGAAACAGTTCTAGGAACCATCTCCTTATATCCACCCACTATCAGACAGGACCAATTTCCAGAAATTTCACTGAGATCACCAAAATGGAACATTCTAGGCTAAGCACTGAACAGTTCCAAACTAGAAATGTCAAATTTCAAACAAGAAGCATTCTAAATAAGCTGGAGATGGGGAAGAAAAGTTTCTAGGCAAAAATTCCTCTGATTAAATGATCTTGATCCAATCCTCATTCTTTCTATCTTTATCTCTCTCTTTTTGTCTTTCATTCTTTACCTTTTCTAACATTAGCCTCTTGTTGTCTTACACCTACTTCATCTAGCTGCTCATGTATTCCAATGTTCAGGTTGGGGTGGGAGTGGACGGGGGGCATGCCTTTGCTCTTTTTCCATACCCACTTTACCACCACCACCTTGAAGCCTATGGAAGCAAACCCCACTTACAGCCCCTCCTCCGTTGCAGCCCACTGCTGCCGCTGCTGTGTGGAATCCAGATCTTCTGCAACCTGGTTTGGGTGAGTTCTTCCATTTCTTGAGACATTTTGGGTGCCACAGCTAATGACACCACTGTCCATAAGATACCGGGCCTTGTGGACTGGGACTTCTTGTCTTGCTAACTGTCTCTTCTGTTGCTGTGGCCACAGCAGCAGGTGGACAGAGTTGGGACAGGGAGATGAGCTGGCTTCTGAGCCCTCTGGCAGCCTGTCTCCAGCCTCCTTTCCTTTTTCCTAGTCCTTGCCTGCTTTTGCTCTTCTATGTACCAGTGAGGGCTTAAGTGCAGAGAGGGAGAGGTTGGGCAGAGGTCAGCAGAGGCCTCTGAACTCCAAGAGCTGTGTACATAGGAGATAAGTGCCTTCCAGCAAAGGAGGGCAGCCAGCAAGACAGCCAAGGTCTGGCCAGTCACTTCCCTCCAATGAAGACAGGACTACTAGAGTATGCAAATAAAAGACCAAAGATCATGTGCTTACACGCTATGTAGAGTGGGGAGGCAAAGGTGTTGGAAGCAGGTCTCAGTAGCTTTCACAGCTTTGAAATAAAATACAGGCCCAAGTAGAATGTCAAGTTTCAATCTGGAAACTGAGATCCACATCAGAAATGCAAGGTTCCCAAGTACAAACATACATAGTCCCTAATGAAGAATGCAATGTTTTGATCTAGCAGTCAAAGGCCCAAACTGGAAGTGAAAGATCCACTGCCTTACTGGCCCACCCTCCCCTACAAAACAAGCGCCTCCCCTAGTTTGAATCACAACACTTGTCTTTCCCTGAATTCTTCTGCCTTTCCTATTGGAGGCCCTCTCCTCTTAAAATGTGCTGCCTGGGGTACTCTTGGAGAGATGGGCACTATTCAATCATCTCATGCTTTCTTCAGCTGAGGCTAAATAAATCAGAGTAAACCTGACACCTCTGGGAAGAGGAATGAGTGCAGCCATTGCTGGGGTAGAGATGGCAAGCGCTGCCCACATGGCTGCCAGCAGCCATCAGGTGGGACCTTATTCAGAACCTGGCTAAAGTTCCTCATGCCAAGCCATAAGAATGGAGGTTTAGAGTGGAAGCTGAAGCAAACTGAGTATGGGGAGCAGGAAGCAATGGATTCAAACTAGGACATCCACCCTGATATCTCTATTTTACCCTCTTTCTTCCCCTGGTTGTATTGAGGCTTTTTATGTGTGGATCTCATCTGAAAGTACAGCTTACCTGGAAAATGTCCAAGTGTTCTCTTACTTCATTCTTTTGCAACCTTCCCACCCCCTGGTGAACCTCTGTTGATTGGCTACGAGAAAGCTCAACTTTCTTCCACTGAGTTGGGTTACACCGGGGCAATCTCTTGGGGCTAGAAATCTCCAGTCCCTACCCTCCAATGCTCTTAGATACACTTTGCCTTTTAAGAAGTCCCTTAAAGTACATTCTCAGTGTCCTAGTCTACACAAGGGTTAGATTCCTTCCAGTTGTTGTGTATAAATCATACCAAACTCTCAATATATTTCATAGCCTGCCCATGTAAATCAATCCCCTGAAGCAGTGGATCAAAGTGATTAAGAGCAATGGGCTCTTGGAGCCATACTACCCAAATGGAATCCCACCTCTGCCCTTTGTTATGAGACCCAGGGCAGAAGACAAACTTCTTAGTAGTTCAGTTTTTTTTCATCTGGTAAGAGTACCTACCCGTTTATGGTTGTTGAAGATTCAACATGTTAATACATGTAAAGCAACCTGGGAAACGCTCAATATATATATCACCTAACACTGTGATCCCCTTTGTGAAGTAGATGGTCAAACATGTCTTTGGCAAAGGTAATGCTGTCCATACAGGAAACACTGGGTAAAGGAAATTTACAACATTATGACAAAGGATTAACATTTATAATAAATAAAGAAATCCTCCCGATCAACTAGAAAAATGAATTCACTTTTACTTTTTTGGTTTTTCGAAGCCTCCTAGAAATTTTTCATCCAACCCTCTCAGGTAAGGAAATGGAGGCCTAGAGAAGGGAAGTATTTTCCTAAGGTCCTATAGCAAATAAGTCACCAAGTCAGGAGTAGAACACTGAGCACTGGATTTCTCCCAGTCCAGGGCTTTTCTTTGGTTAATTAATCAGTCTAGCTTGATTTAAGAATGTGGTCTTCCAGATTACCTCGGAATGTTTAGTCTCAGAACTAGACTTTGAAAGACATGTAACTCTCTTAAATTCAAATAAGTCTCTTAATAAATATCACTCTGCTAATGCTAATAATATTAATAACTCTTTAAATGTATGTTTTCTAAAGCAGCAACATATTTCTTATCCTAGTTGCTTCTTATGAACATTCTCACTAGCCTCACAGGGAAACTGAGGTCTAGAGAGGGGAAGGGGCTTGTCCAAGGTAATCGAGCCAGTCACATGAACCCTCTTCTGTTTATAGTTTTGTCCTTATGATCTTGCCAAGAGGCAGAAAGATAATTTTAGCACTAGGAAATATGATATAGGGAGCTAGCAGGCTGAAATGGTAAACCTAGGATCCAGTCTTGAAACCCCAACTTAAAACTGCCTGAAATTGGCTATTTATTAATTTATTTTTACCACTGTTAACAATTCTGGTCCCAGAAGCAGAAGAACTAAACAAGCTTTATGGAAAGGCCTGATCCTGGCTCTTGTCAATCAAGCCCCAACCTACCTCTCCAGTATGTATCTCTTTAGATCCCCATGCTTAAACTATGCTGGCTGACTCACTGGGCCCAAAACATGCCATGCACTAATTTTTGCCTCTAGGCCTTTGCTTAGCCTGGAATGCCTTCTCTTCCCTTCCATTCTCAGTAAGATACAACTCACTCTTCAAGATCTGGCTCAGTGTTCACCTCCTCTTGAAAGGCTTCCCTGTATTCTCAGGGAAGAATGTCTTTGGTTCTCATATTTTCTATATCCTTCCATCTGTCTGAGCAAGTATCCACCTGTGTTTCACTGGTCTACTCCCCCACTAGACTGTGAGATCCTTGAGAATGAGAACTGGATCTCAGCTATCTGTGATCTGTTTCTCCAGCATCCAGTTAAAGCTCTGGCACAGAGGAGACACTTGCTCAATGAGTGTTTGTATACTTTAGAACATCTCTTTGCCCTAGATGAGATAAACACGTAGACAAATAATCCCCATTTAACAAGGTAAATGTTATACAGAAGGCTATGCAGGACCCTGGGTGGGGGAACTAACTTGGTTGAAGATAGAAGGTGGCATCTAGAAAGTTTCTCAGCCTTGAATGGGGCAGAGCAGAATACATGAAAGAAGGACATCTTCCCTGAAAAGGTCCAATTAACTGGTTAAAGAACAAGGGTTCACTCAGTACCAGAGACTCACTCAATACCAAAAGCTGAGCCACAAATTCTAAAATGGGGTTAACTCTGGGGAGGAAAAGCATACAGTGTGACTTCCCGAGGCCCACAAATCCTGATCATCCTCCCAAAGTACAAGGTATGTTAGAGAATCCATTAAAAGCAGTATCAAGACAGGACTGATGGGTAGCAAAATCACCAATGGGGTCTCCCTACTGGTAATTCTTGGAGCGTGTGGGTGTGAATGCATTTGGAGAGGGGAGATTGGCCACATGCTTACAGGTCAGGTGCCTATATGTAATTATCAGGTCTTCTGTGGCAGCAGCCTAGGATCTATTTTTTCCTTAGCCACCTCCTTGGTCCACCATCCTCCACTACTTTCAGCCCCATGCCTTGGATCCAAGCTTGCTGCATTCTAGTTCTAGGTGTGGCTTCACAGACCATAGTCACTCAGGGAGAAGAGCAACTAGAGGGTTGTGGGTGGTACTGCATGCTGAGGCTGCAGAAAAGTCAGGATCACTAATGTCAGGCAGAGCATAGAGGTCTTGAAATATCTCCAAAGAGCATCAGTTCCTGTCCTTCCATTCCTCTTCACCTCGAGACAGTCCTCTAGGGGGATAAGTTAAAGACTTCAATTTCCATTTTAGTGAGGAGGCTATTGAAACCCAGAGAAGCTAAAAAGCTTGTTCAAGTGCCACAGCAAACCAGCCCTACCTCATACACTGGGGGAAGATATGGAATCTCTATCATCTAGGTCATTCAAAACTGAAGTAGACCAAGTTAGACTTCTGAAAGCACTAGGGAACTACCCTTTGGACTAGTGTCCCACAAAGATAGGTCAGAAGGATGATAGGTAGATAGATAGATGATAGAAAGTTAGGTAGATAGACAGATAATTAAATATAAGTATCATCTTTTCCCTAACTTTCTCACAGCCTTTAATGCACACTTCAAGTGATCACCTATGCAAAAACAAACAAACAAATAAACAAACAAGCCCAAAAACTTTCCAGACAGCCTAAAGGACGGATTTGGATTTGTGTAACTCATTTTTTCTGTTTTACCTACCTGTTCTCCTAAAGGTTTTTCCTTCCATTGCTATTTATCCCGACACACAGTCAGTCCTCTTCTATTTAGAACCCCCAAATGGGTCCAGTGGGTGGCGTCAAAGAGGGAGCCTGGAGCCTTTCGTTGGTTTCCTGGGAAGGCTGGGGAAGTATCCTTGGTAAGAGGTGTGTGTGTGTGCTTTGTTGAAATATCAGCTGTTGTAGTTGCCAAAGAAGTTCCTGAGCCACCCGGAGCCTTTTCTCTTCAGCTAACCATGTGTTCACATTGCCCCAAAGGTCAGAACTAATATTAACAAGCCACTGCAGAAAGGGGAAATTAAAACCAGCAACTGAGACAGGCAAGATCTGTATTTCCTTGGGGCTAAGTTTCAGACTGTTCTTCAGGGTAAGTAGGCACGATCTCTTACTGGAAAGTGATTTGGCAATATGAAGTAAGAGCAATAGAGAGGTTCATTTCCTTTGTCCCAGTTATCCCACTCCTGGGACTCAATCCTGAACCAATAACCACCAGAGCATAAAAAAGTTCAAAGCACCAAATTTTAAATTATAATTGCAGAGCTATTTTCTGATGGCAACAACTGGAAGGTAACCTTTAAGACCTCCAGGAGGAAAAGCATCTCTTTGGGTCTTTTCTGCAGACATTGAGGATGATAAATCTAAGGCTATAGAATTCTGGGAGGGAAATAATTATGCTGCAATTCTGGGTGAGGAACCTAAGGATGCAAAGTTATGCTTTTCCTGGACATTGGCTAGGTCTATTATTTCTATTTTTGTATTCCGAAAAGTCATTAACCTGTTGGTGCTCTTGCTATTGTCCTTTGTTCATTCATTCAACAAATACTTATTGAATCCTGTAGTATATGTTATCCCTTATATTAGGGAATGGGACTAACAATATGAATCAGACT